TATCACGTGACCTTGTGAAATTTGAATATTCATAATATTTAATAACTGAACAGAACTGAGCACATGTATTCCATCCTTTATTGGCTCTGATCATCAGGGATGTTMCGGCATATACCACTACATTTACAGGCTTTAGAGCAAAACAATTCTAGACTCYTGCATTTGCAACGTCGTGTTGTGCAGCCTTCTTTGCTGCAACCGCAGAATGCAAGCTGCAGACAGGCTGCTGATATCGGGTCTTTAGTCATAAGGTGAGACTTGAGAACTTCATCCTCCATGATCCAACCGTGACCGTCGGGGCTTGGAAGTTCAGGTCGCGGTTCTAGTGCCTTCTTCCAAACGAGAGTTTGATAATGTGAACGCTTGATATGAAGATGGAGRGCATCTTGTGTTGGAGGTAGAGAGTTCAAGCTTGTCTTGGTGCTTYGGAACACTTTGGTTCTTAACTTATCAATTGAGGTTTCATCTATATGATAAATTTAAAGAATCAGTAAATAAAAAATTCCAAAGATGTACATGTACAGTAAGAGTAAATACCTTTGCCATAAAGTTTGCACACAAAGTGTTCAGCATTCGAAATTACTCCATCTGTCATCTGTGGCATTTCCCCGAGKTTTTCAAGCAACTCGGGGCAACTTTCAAAGACCTTCCAACCTGAAACTTTGCCAACTCCAACGAACTGGCTGGTRGTATCACAACCAGTTATGGCATGAAATGCAAGAAGTGAATTTCTCTTTGCCTCACARATATCTACTTTGTGTACTGCGATGTAAGATCTTTTCCTTGATGTACCAGTAAACATCCAAACATATGGGCAAAGTTTAGGCAGGTGTGCTACCAGAAGAAYAAGGACGTCAGTGTCACGGGAAACAACATTGACCTGCTGATATCCACTTATTGCTGCATCCCTTGCATGCAAAAGAATGCGGGTATCCGCTTCTTCATGGCTTGCAGAGAGACTAGCCACACTTCTATCACGTGAAGACCAAACTTTGTACATATCACTGAAACCACCACTTAGGATCAACTCTCTTCTTGGTTCTGTGCAGTATTGTTGGGACACATCAGTGCACAAAAAAATGACAAGGCTTGCTTTATTAACATCTAACATGATGAATTTATCCCAATTTCCGATCTTTTGCTGCCTATCCTCAACATTGCGCTTAACTCCTCTGACTTTGTCGTTTTTCCTCTTATCGCGGGTTCATGATGAATAGAAATCAAATTATGGACATTAGCAAGTATCCTTAAAGTGCCACTTGGACGTAATTTGATAGAAATTTGAAAA